CAGTATAACGTGTAACTTTTTCTCTAGAATAAGTAACAAGGAGTAGAATATCTGGGTTGTAAACTTGTACTTTTTTTTTTTTGAGTTGAAGTCTCACTCTGCCACCCAGAATAGAGTGCAGTGGCACACTCATGGCCACCGCAGCCTCAACCTGCTGGGTTCAGGCGATCCTTCCCCCTCAGCCTTCCAAGTAGCTGGGACTACAGGCACGTACCACCACACCTTGCTAATTTGTTGATTTATTGTAGAAATGAGGTCTTACCACATTGCCCAGGTTGGTCTCAGACCCGTGGGCTCAGGCAATCCTCTCACCTCCGCTTCCCAAAATGTTGGGATTACCGGCGTGAGCCACTGTGCGCCCAGCTGTCTTGTACATTTAAAATTTTGCAAACATAATGCCAAAATTGTCCTCTAAGATATTTGTATTTACACTCCCATTGACATTGTATGAAAGTTCTCAGTGTTTCATCGTCTTTAACATTTGCTATTCTCTGACTTTTAAATTTTTTCCAGTATGGTAGTTGTGAATGATATCTCCTTGTCATGGTTTTAATTTGCATTTCCCTGATTTGTAATGAGGTCGAAAGTCTTTTCAAGGGTTTGTGTTTCATTTTCTATAAAATTCCCATTTGTGTCTTTTGCTCATTCTTACCAATTTGTAGACATTCTTTACATATATAATCTACATATTAATCTATTGTCAGTTTTACATGTTGCAAATATTTTTTCCCGTTTGTAGCTTACCTTTTCTCCTTTTTTAAGAGTGCAAGGGGGCTGGGTGTGGTGGGTCAAGCCTGTAATCCCAGCACTTTGGGAGGCCAAGGCAGGAGGATTGCCTGAGCTCAGAGGTTTGAGACCAGCCTGGGTAACTTGGCGAGACCTCATCTCCACAATACATCAAAAAATTAGCTGTGCATGGTGGCACATGCCTGTAGTTCCAGCTTCTTGGAAGGTTGAGGCGGAAGGATCACCTGAGTCCAGCAGATCAAGGCTGTAGTATCCATGGGTGTGCTACTGCACTCCAGTCTGGGCAACAGAGTGAAACTCCAACTTAAAAAAAAAAATCAATAAGGATTCTATTTTGTTTCAAAAAACAAAGTACCTGTAGGTCCAGCTACTTGGAAGGCTGTGGTGGAAGGATCACTTGGGAACAGGAATTTCAGACCAGCCTTGGCAACATACCTATACCCAATCTCAAACAAAAATTAAAAAAAAATATTATCTAGAAAGTCATCAGATTACTGTAGAAATAGCACCACCTTGTGGCCCTGAAGTGTTTTTAGTTTTCCACTTGCCTTTTTTTTTT